TTATAATTATTTTTGTGTTTTTCCTGCTTTTTTGTTGTTTTTTTTTGCTGTTGGTGTCTTTTGATTTATTTCTTTTAAATACTCCTTTTAAATGTTTGTAAAATTAGATGCAAATATTGTAGATATGTGCTGAAAATTCCACACTGTACCACTAGTACTGTTTCTGGAATAAAGCAAATTATTATTAAGTCCATAAGACTATTCCCTGGTAACAAGTCGATTCCTAAGTCGTTAAGTTCAGTTAAGGATACATCCATTAGCATATCTATGATGAAGTTAAACAGAAATGGGGAAAGTGGACATCCTTGACGGACACCACTGGTTGTTAACAGTTCAGATGACAATTCTCCATAAGCCCTTACACGGCTACGTGAGTTTGAGTAGAGTGCCTTGATCAGTCCAATGTACTTTCTTGGCACTACCTTCACAGTCAAACATGGTTCTTACAGATCCCTAGGAAGGTATAGTCACATAATCGTTTTTAAGACAAGTGCATACATACACAGCACAACCCTTGTGGAAAAAAGTTGTTTTCAAGTGTTTAGTGGTAGTAGTTGGGTATCTTTTCAATGCATATATATATCATTCCTTTGGGTTCCAGGTCGAACATGGGGCTTCAAAAAATCTCCACTTCGTTCTATTTTCTGATGTCCTCTTCATCTGGGTCCACGACTGCTCATAATCTCTCATCTCTTCCTCACACGATCTCCCCATGTCACCCTTGCAGCGACAACCCATTCGCCGCTTACTATAGGGATTCCACCCGAGCGATTGACTGACTGGTTTCAACATAGAACTTTGCACAGATGTCCACACCCCATGTAGCACACAAAGCAACAGAAGAAAGTAAAAAGAAATGCAAAACAGAGACAGTAAACAGAGATGAGACAAAAAGAATAGTAACATGGAAGAACCAGAGTTTTTTTGGATATTATAAGTCACAAGGAGTGTATGCATCAGCGTCACTGAGAACGATTTTGAACCATATCACCGATTGTCTCCAGCCATTGGTGTTTAACGTCCCGAGGATCCCAACCAGTTGGGAAGTCTACAACTTCCTAGGTGGCTTAAACTAACTGTTGTAGATTTCCATCATGAGCTGACATCAGTTAGAGAACCATCGGGAAACCTGGGAGTACTGGACAGCTGTTTCGTCCTAGTTTTGGACTCTTCAGCAGCACGTACCCACTAGGGTTCTAACCCAGGACCTTCTGGTTTCAAGGCGAGCTTGTATACCATTAAGCCACTGGGACCCGACCCAATGGCCCATGAATTCCAACTTCCACCAGAAGGTCCTAGGTTCGAATCCCGGTGGGTACGTACTGCTGAAGAGTCCCAAACTAGGACGAAGCGGCTGTCCAGTACTCCCAGGTTTTCCAATGGTTCTCTAACTGATGTCAGCTCATGATGAAAATCCTGTAACCAATCAAATCCCTACAAACCAACACTTGAATATCAATGACATGCTCACTAGCGACATGCCCTATTCAGGTAGGTAAAGCCTTGGGTTCTAGTGAGAAGTCGTGACCAGTAGGGTGCAGCAGGTCAGGTGTGAGGACAAATACTTGCCGAAGACATTGGCTAGGGGTCGCGCTATGTCATGAATTGGCAAAAGTTGGAATTCATGGGCCATTGGATCGGGTCCCAGTGGCTTAATGGTATACGAGCTAGCTCGCCTTGTAACCAGAAGGTCCTGGGTTCGAATCCCGGTGGGTACGTACTGCTGAAGAGTCCCAAACTAGGACGAAGCGGCTGTCCAGTACTCCCAGGTTTTCCAATGGTTCTCTAACTGATGTCAGCTCATGATGAAAATCCTGTAACCAATCAAATCCCTACAAACCAACACTTGAATGTTGTAGACGTCATTTACTGATGAAGCCAGGTTGGTTTGACCACCACTGGCTCTTTTCCAATCTGATCCTATGTCAGCTAACATTGCCCGTTGTCGAGGAAGGTGATAGCTAGGCTAGGCATGCGTAACACATATCCCAACCGTCTCAGCCAGTGTAAATTCACAACTTCGTCGATTGATTTCCTCTCCCTCCTTACCTAGCACTCGACCGAAGCCTAACCTCAATATTGCTCGCCCTATGATACAACTCCGCGCGGGAGATAGAACGCAAACACCTATGATCAAAGACAGTTAGCCTGCCTATTCTTGTCTTTCACTTGGAATGGCCATAACCAGCTCGCAGCCATAAAGGAGGACAGAGTGAACTGCTGAACAGTACACACGTCCTTTGGTCAACAGCCAGCTGGATGTCACGTCTACGCCAGAGACAGCGTAAACTGGAATATGCGATACGAGCCTTCTGTATTCATGCTGAGATTTCGCCAGCGATCAATCCGCTGACGTTGGCTGATGCAACTTCCCAAATAAGTGAAGCGGTCAACACGCTCTACCACTTTACTCCCTATTTCTAAACTAGGAGTCAGTGTAGTCCAGTCCTGTAATATCATCTTACATTTGGCGGAAGCGAATCGTATACCAAACATTCGTACATTGCAGCTCAAGGTATTCAGAAGACTCCGCATTTTGTCAGCGTCCTCGCCCAGAAGGACTATATCGTCTGCATATCTTAAGTCAACGAGATTATTCCCTGGTAGCAAGTCAATCACTGAGTCTCTGAAGTGAGTTAGGGTTAATATATGTGTAAAACTTGGGCACTGTGGTAGTAAGTAATTCCATATTAGTTTGTTTATTAGATATATCACACAGTGAAACAGTATTATTTACTGGATGACTTTTCGAACAGAATTTATTGTTCATGATCATATCAATTGTGTAATCTAATGAGTGACGTGTGATCAGGATGCATATAGAAACGAAGGAAAATATGGAATAATCTAAGAGTCTTAAAGGAATAAAAGAGTTATAAGCAGTTAGGAAGACGGATATACAAAAATCAAGTGAGTAGAAATCAACACGGTTGTCGCCATGATAGTAAAAGTAGCTGAATAATTCTCTTTTGTGTACATAAATCTAGTTTCTCCAAATGAATGGCTAAGGCGGCAATACAGCAATACAAAGGAGACGAAAACGCATTACCTCTAGCAGGTTATTTTCTTCACTTTGTAGACTACTCTGAAGGAGACGTTTGTTGAGATGGAATGGCCAGTGTCGACAAGGTGTTCGATTATCGCACTCCTTATACAACCACTACTACCTTTCTGCTACCAGGCGGAATAGGATTCTTGAACCTTTTTAGACAGGATACGCGTCGAACGACCAATGTACCTGACTGACTGCACAGCAACAGGTCAACTGATATATGCTGATATAGAAGTGGTCAGATACAAGATCTTATCCTTAAGGGTTCTGCAGACCAATGGGCGACTGCAGGATACTACTCCTAACATTGCTATGAAGAATGTTCTCCTCAAAGATGCTGAAATTCTCCTCTTAAGGATATCTCAGGTTAAGTCTCCCTTGAAATTCACGTTCATCTAAAGTTTCTTATAAAAATGAACTGGCTGTTTAGTAGCTAAAGTATGTTTAAATCATTTCTCACTGATTACTTTTGTGTTTCTCTATTCAGCATTGTATACAGTTTAGAAAAATTCTATGAAATAAAATGAATTCATACAACCAGTTCCATCTGATAAGTTTGAACACAGAAAGAACTAATATATTTTGCAGGATAATACGAGTTCAGGTCTCCAAATTTACTTAATTGTTAGTCCATGCCATAATTTTATTTTCTATCCGCCCCCCCCACCTTCTTAAACTTTTCCACTATATTATGTATAAATTCACTCTGTTGTTCGAATTCTTTATTGTCTCTAGCTAGTCCTTTTCTCTAGCAAAATCTGGCCCCACCACCTCTTGTCCACTTATACTATAAATAGTTATTCTTTTAACACTGAGTAAAATAATTTGTTTACTTACATAATTTTTTGGAATTATGTTGCTTATACTTTCTATCCATAATAACTCGACGTTACTGTGAGTAAAGTGTGTATGCGACTTAGAGTTTGATATTGTTTAGGATGTATACTCAGGAGGGCTTCGTGTGCTTTTGGAAGTGTGTCAACAGTTGTTACTTCCCGGCTGCCCACACCGTAAAAGTTGACTGGTCCTTCGGGTACCTGAAACAGAAAGACGGTTAGTGTTGCGTGACCGCAGAGCCCAGGGGACAACTGCTTGAGGTTGGCCGGTCACACACGGCCTGTGTGTACTGGTTTCTTGGATTGGTTCCGTATTAGTAACCTACAGGCGGTTATGGACTACCGTAGGGTAAGTCGAGATGTTCAATTTTCGTGGATAAACTTTTCCTAACCCCCTCTCTCCAGAGTGGAGAGACAGCATAGCTGACTGGCATGCTGGTCATCTGAGGGAAACACCTTACTGCTGTTACATCCCTGTTCCCCAGCAGTACGGCTTTGGCCACAGACCCCCAGCATAGTGTCAAAGAAATTTCACACTATGCCAGTAACTGCGTTTAGTCTAATCGCTATCCTAACAATCTTCCTGGCATGGTAGGACCTGTGGGAACAATAGTTCCAGCCAGTATAGCTTGTTGAGTCATTACGATATGCAAGCCCGGCGAGCACCACGTCAAGCTAGTAGCTATTGGTTGGGGCAGCCATATAAGAAGGTGCAGACTTCCTGGCTAGTTGGGGCCCTCGGAACGGTAAACACCAATGAAGACTGGAGACAATTGTGGTGATATGGCTCAAAATCGTTCTCAATGGCTAGCGGAGATGCACCTACTCCTTGTGACTTATAATACCCAATAAAACTATATCGTTCTTCGATATTACTATTCTTTTTGCCTCATATCACTCTTTACTGTCTCTGTTTTGAATTTCTTTCTACTTTCTTCTCTTGCTTTGTGTGCTACATGGAGGGAGTGTGGCGACTCGAACTGCTGCACGTTTGTGCAAAGTTTTATGTTGAAACCAGTTAGCCAGTCAGTCAGTGATGGCAGATGCATTCCAAAGGGAACACATGATCGTCGAAACATTTTACAAAAAAAAACAAAAAAACAACAAATAAATAAGTTAAAATATAGTTATATTAAGATTAATAAACATGAACCATTCCATAAATAAAAGTCCAAAATAAAATATACGTTGTCAACTCTCCAAATACTCCTCCATAAGTTAAACATGATCGTTGAATAAAATATTTATTCCAAGATTTTCCAGTCTTTTGTAGCAATAACAATGATAAAAAACCATTTGCCATGAAGTAAAACATGAATCCAACTAGTCCTAAAGAAAATAAAATGAATGTTAGTTAGTTAGTTAGTTAGTCCAATAGAAAATTTCTCGCCCACCTGTTAAACCTAATATCCCGGCTGTACATCCAGAAAGTGCTGCAATCGATACACGGCAATAATTGACCATAGCAAGATTATGTTGTGCAGCTGATGGACTATATGTGACTGTATCTCCTGGAGTTCCCATCTGTTTGTGATTACTAGTATTTACAATACGTTTGGTATCAAAATAACCTTTGGAAGAATCTTAAAAAATGTATATTATCTCGACTGGTCTTCTGTAGTAACTTCCTCAACCAGAGACAGTTCCAGTTGTAATATGTCAAGGAATATGTTGATTTTCAATTCGCGACTTCGTACTCCCTTTTATTTAGCTGAATATTGACAAAACAGTATTAGTATAGAATGAGGACACCTTATATATATGCAAGTAAAATGTAACTGCCACAGACAATACATAAGAGAAACAACAATTTGATAAAGACTGGTGAAGATTTACAGAAATACGTCAGCCACGGTGCAAATATATTTCAACTCAGTCACGTTAAAAACATTCCACTATCAATGTTATTAAAAACACAGATATGGACACCAAGAGATGTACCACAATGATGAGACATGTAGTCAGCAACGGTGAGGGTACGATTATAGTCTCTCATGAAATTGTTGTTCAGTAGTTTATGCGAGGCCTAAGATACTGTCCGGATGCAGATAGTTGTTTTATAGGGACAAAACTCTGAACCTTCGACTTGAAGTCTGATCCACAAGTGGGTGGGGCAGAGTGTTCCCATGATTACAGCTAGATGAAACGGGTTCATACGCCATTCAATCCTTTCAGATTCTACAGCCCATGTTCACCAACGGTTTGGACTCAAGGTTTTCCAGCTCCCCTGGGTGAACCTGTATATCTTGAAAGCATGTGTACAATGGTATAGGTTCCACTTGACGTATGAGGTTAGATTACACTGTCCAGTCCTCCAGGCTGTATCAGACGGAGGGAGACTGTGATTCTAGAACTATGCTAAAGTAAGCATCATTTAACCTTGCCTTAAGAGTTTCATTCAGCTTCTTTGGTTATGTTGAACAATCTAGCTATGGTGTTTCATTGACTCTGTTGCAGATGAAAAGTGTTTGAAAAAGAGCGAATATTTGTAATCCATAAGCCTGCCAAAGTAATTTGACTGAGTTAACTGATTCATTTGAAAACTCTGCGGAGAATAAGGTTATATTTAACCGGTATAAGCACTGAGTATTTGTTTGGTAGTATCAGAATACGTTTCACAACAGTCAGTACTTGCTTACTGTTATCGGACATATTTCAGAATCGTAACTTTCACCAAGCGCTCTTTCGGGTTTGAAAACCACGCCATGCGTTCGTACAGAACTTATCTTGTCTTTCTAAGTATATTTCAGTATTCTGATAACAAATTAATTATTTAGTGGTTCTGTCGTTCTCAATTAACTAGTGCACTGAAACTAAATATAGTGAGATGACTACGAAATCAAGGTGTCATATTAATGCTGCTATGGATTACAATAGCTTTAAAAAGGTTATCTCGGGTCGAAACTTTACGATTTTGTGTGTCACTACTAGAGAGGTTATGAGTTATTAAGTCTCGCCATATCTGAAACAGTGAAAAGGCAATTACTTTTCAGTGATTTACCTCCTTAATTCCATTTCCGTATATGCAGATTCTTAAACAAAGCTAACAAGCTGCATATTTTTGGTTGAATAAAAAATAACTCACTCGTCTATGGTTTAAAATAAAGCCCAAATCATTGAGAACAGAACAGTAGACCAACTAACCTTGAGAATTCGAATTTTACGCCACCGAACTACCTTCAACCTACACGTGGCCAGCTACTGCAAAGCAGTGTACATACTGTCTTGTGTGATAAAGGAAGGCTTTTAACCTATTGTAGTCCATTTTATGGCGAATAATCGTCCCAATGTGTTACCTCTTGAACCATTCAACTCAATACAGGGCAATTGCATGTTAATAAGTTTATTGGATAGACCACAAACAGGAGTAACACTACTCACTTGGTGACGTTACTAACACAGTTAGTGGTTCAAAGGCATATGCACTATACCAAAATAACTTTGAACCTCGGCTCTTATAATTCTTGTTCATGCGTGAAGTGCAATTGCAGAGCTTTTTCCGAAATTACTTATCTTCTCGAGGTCAACCATTCTTACCTTAGCTAAATTCTTTTGTTCCGACAATCTGATTACCCTCGATCTACTAGTCTGACCTATATAGTTGACCTCACAGTCACAGGGTAGAAGCAATTCTTGTTCACCTTTTTTCTCACTCATCACTTTGTATTTTTTCCCTTAACGCTTGCATACAGTGGAGTAAATGCTGAACTCCTAATATGCATTCTTCCATTGAAATTTTTTTGTAATTCTTAGTCAAGTCAACTGAAAATACGCCTAATAGCAGTAGCTCAACACGTGTCCTGGGCATCTGGAAAAATCCACTACCCTAACGAAAAATGGGAAAAAAGAACACCAATCCAAATAAACATGCCTGCTTTTTCTGCGGAGGCATATTTGTTCTACAGAGGAAATCCTGAAAGTTGATTAATGCCAATGCCTGTGTTAATCAAGATAATAGTATTGTGTGGTAACACACAGTAGGAAGAGCGAAATGGCCTTTTGTAAAACTGATGAGAAGACTCCTCACTGAAATTTTTTTCCTTCATGAATTACACCTATGAATCAAGGTGTGATTGAGTGTTGTTTTACTCTCCATCCATGCACACGCAGCTGGACTCCAAACAACCGAGACAGCCGTTCGGCGCTTAGTACACTTCAAAATTGCAAGCTAGCACTGCTCCGTAACAAGAGTGGGTCTCTTAGCAACTCATAACAGCTATTTGCGTATAAAGTCACGAGCTTATTAGATCATATTCTCACTGAGCCAATGTATGAAGATAGCACAATTAGACCAAATGCTGCATGTTTGGTGAAATGACTATGTGACTGTATGACCCTGTAGGATTATTTTTGCCCTACAGATTTAGTCCTTCCTCAATACTGACGACACAGAGTCTGGGCTTAACTATAGTTAAAACAGAATGACTTGACTTTAACTTTATCTGTTTCTAAAACATAAAATAAATCATACAATTACACCAAGAAAAATGTACAAATCCACTGACATTACAAAAAAAGGACAAAAACGTACCGAACAGTATTGAGGGTACGGACAAAATGAACAGTCAATTAATTACATGTATACACAAATAGAGTGACAGACAAAAAAGAACATTCAGGGTCACATCACGTGGTGAGAGTTACAATAAATTGACCAATAATCGTCACATCATATTGATTAACTGTCTATCATATAGTCTATCTATCTGTCGCGATTAACACTCCCCGCGAACGATCACCACGTTGACTTCTCGTACACTTCTTATATATTGTTTCACTTCTTGAGTTGAAGTTTTCAAACACAGTGTCCTGACGTGGCCATCTTGGTCATAGTACATCTGCTTAACTATAGCCTTTCGCCAGAGACCTCTCTGTGTGTCAGCACTGTTAACTAAGACGAGATCATCAGGTTGTAGATTGTGCTTTATATCCAACCACTTAGATCTTGTTTGCAGCATCAGAAGATATCCACGTAGCCATTTATGCCAGAACAAATCTGTCAAATATTTTGAAAGTAGTTCACTATAGTGTTGGAAGAAAGCATACCCATACATAGCATTCTCTTTACTTTTGTATTACTGTAATTTTCTTAAGAATTCACCAATTGCTGGACGAGCCACAGTTAAAAGTCTTTTTGGATCCAAGGAAATACACAAATCAGATGAATCGTCCTCACCGACTACTTCATCTGTACGTACCATAGAATCGTCAGCTTCAATCAAAACTCGCAGAATCGCATAACAAGCACAATAATGTGCTTGACACCATGATCCAATGTCATCAGCATTTTCTACTGGAGAATAAAACTCCATGGAAGTTACAACTGAAGGAATCATTGACAACCAATTAATATAGACTGCATCTGGGACATTGCCTTGAGCACAGTTGGTATTCAAACCGAACTGCTCCAGAACAAGAGGTAAATCAGATAAATAAATTCCAACGCACTCAGCTTGACACTTGTCTATTGCAGATGAAAGGTTTGAAAACTTGCTGTCATACGTTTCTCCTGGTTCACACCAACCTTTTACAGGACCTCCATTTATGACATATTCAGTAGTTTTCGTGTGGAAATTTCGTTTTCCATAACAATCACGCCAAAACGGTTTACCTGAACCACATCCCATCAGTTCATGAAGTCCAACTTGTAATTCAAAGGAACTTTCAGCATGTTCCACGTACATTTGTTTGTCTTCATTACTTAGAAACTCTGATTTAGGATCCTTGAAACGAACACTAAGTACATTATTCAAAGAAACATTTTTAAATCCCTCAACTTGTCGCACATCATCATAGTTAGGAATATTAGTTCCAAAAGGAATTCCAGAAGTTTCAAACGTAACTACATCCAAACCAGTAAGGTCTGGCTGTAAGAAATTAACTTTTTCAAATGTAGAAGGCCATGGTAAATTTGTTAACAACCTTTCAGCATTATTCACAAGTCCTCGGAATTTTTTAGACACTGATCTATTTACAACAGCGACAAATGATTCAAACCTTGCACGAACACCAAAGGGATCACGGTATGACTCTATAAACCCAATATACTTTTCAACAACAGGGTTCTTATCTTTAACCCATAACCTGAAGGCATCTTTGTGAGTGGCTACTGAGCCAGTAGTGAAGCTTTCAACATACTGATACCACATTTCTGATTCAATTTGGTTAAGCGAATGTGCTTTAAAATCTTTACGACAATCGACTAGTAACTTCATCAGCTCACTATAGTCACCATATTCAAGCTGCAAAGATGTGTCCGAGGGAAGGGCATCTCTTAACTTCTCACGACGTTGACTTAGACGGATTTGCAGGTCATGGTAACGTTGGGATAACTGTCGTTGTTTTCCTTGGATAATAGGGGCGTCGAAATAACTTTCTGCAGCAAGCGTGTCAGCCTGGACTTTGAATGTATCTATACGTTCACGATGAGTAGCTACATCAGATTCAAGCAAGTTGTGCCGCTTTTGTGCGTTCATCACACCGTTTAGATCACGACCGACATCCTCTGAGGCTATCTGAGCTTCAACATCATTCGGCCATAACTCGACATCTAAGTTGCGAGCGAACTGTTGTTGCCTACTTGCTTGATCTAAATTTTTCCTCTTGTCTCTCACGGCATTTACGAGATGAGACCAAGTTTCATCCAACTGTTCAATCTTTACTTTTATCGCTGGCGAGTTGTAGTGGTTTGCATTTAACAAATCCTAACCTGTCTTTTTAATATCTTCAACGCGGGATTGGTTCACTTGTATATATGCCTCGAAATTCTGATGCTTCTGCACCTTTGTTTGCAAATTCGTGGAGTCTGTAACTTGCATCAAGTGCATTTCTAAGTTTTCCTGATATCCACGACTGCATTTCATCTGCATCTCTATCGAAAATTTGGTAACGGTGGTAATCTTCAAGACGCTGACGGCGGTTCTGAGCTTTCTCCTTTAATGCATTTCGTCTAATTTGAAGACCTTCCTGAATCTCATGAACCTGCGCAGCCGCATGGTGGTTTGATTGGATTAATTTTGCAGCGAATTCACCAAGTTGTCGCATCTTTTCTTCTTGTGCTAAAGGTGACTTTTCGAAGCCTCCATGTTTCCTTATGAGTACTTCCACAGAATCGAGTGAGTCTCCCACACCTTTTATTTCTAAGAGGGCCTCTTGCTTACCAATTCAAGATTCCGACTGTTCAACGTCGCGGTAAAAATACTGAAGGCCCACACGCTGTTCTAGCTGTTCACGTCTTTCCTCACACAACTGCATCAGGGAGGCTCTCCCTCTTTCAAGGGTGGAAAGTTTAGCAGCTATGTCTCCACTACAGGGATGGCCAACACTTAGTAATGCCTGACCTTCTTGCATGCATGTATCGAAACTGTCAGCTCGAGAATTTATCTCAGCGGTGTATTGCTTATGTCGCTCTACTTGGGCTTCAGCACCAGCTACATCCTTTGCCAAATCATCCGCCGATATTAACGTCTTCATGTCATTCATCCACATACTCAAGTCTCTCCAGTCAACCAAAAAGCGATGCATCTTGAATGACTCTTCCAGTTTACCTCTCCTATCTACAGCCTGACTTTTCAGCTTATCCCATGCAGTAATTAATGCATCATACTTGCCTTGTATAGTATCTTGCGAATCAGGATGCTTCTGTGCAAGCGCCTTAGCATCATCTCCAAGTTGAACAATCTTCTCATCTGGTGTAGTCAAATCCCTTTCTAATGCTTCATGCTTCCTTTGTAAGGCTTGGACTGAGGCAAGATCACGACCACAGTCCTCAATGGATAAAGGAATGGACTTTTCATTCACCCACGATATACCTTTATCTATGTCTCTAAAGAAGCGCTGTATCTCATAGGCTTCCAGGAGCTTTCCTTTTCGTTTTCTAGCCAGATCTTTCAGACGTTCTAGAGCTTCGTGGACCTCTCTGGACTTTTCTATGACTAGAGCATCCTCAGGAAATTCCTCTTTTAGAAGTTCATCTGCCTTCCGATAGATGTTTTCGGCACGACTCTCTTTATACTCGAGATCCTTTATAAACTCATCAAACTTTTTGAAGTGTCTCAACATGTTCCAAGTCTTGACCTAAATCCTCTGATGTTACGTAAGTTTCTTTTTCACGTATCCAGAAAAGTATCTCCTCGACTTGGCGTAAAAATTGGACAAATTTAAGCGTTAGGTTGATAAGACGTGATTTTTCTCTGAAAATAGCCAAAAGCCTTTCCCACAGGGCATGCAATTCATCAAGACGGTTTT